CCCCCCCCCAGGACGTGAGCTCAGGAAGGTGGTGTCAAGAGAGGGACAACCCTGCCCCCGGGGGTGGAGAGTTTGGGGGGTCAGGGCAAGGAGTTGCCCAAGTTTTAAGTCAACTAGTGGTGTGGGTTGCCCCTCTGGTCTTGGGGAAGGTGCTCAGCGCCTCTTGGCCACCTCCATGAGGGAATTTGGTGGCTGCCAAAAAGCCACCGTGGCCGAGCGGTTGCCGTGTGCCACCTTCCCTGATCTGTGCTTGTGCTTGGATCTGGTGGGGTTCATTGGGGTTGTCCTTTCCCTCTGCTCTGCCCTGGGGAGGCTCCATCTGGAGCACTGGGACCAGTTCTGGGCTCCCCGGTTCAAGAAGGACAGGGAACTGCTGGAGGGGGGACAGCAGAGGGCTACAAAGATGATGAGGGGCCTGGAGCATCTCCCTTATGAGGAGAGGCTGAAGGACTTGGGTCTTTTTAGTCTGGAGAAGAGAAGGCTGAGGGGGGATCTGATCAATGCCTAGAAATACTTCAAGGGTGGGTGTCAGGAGGATGGGGCCAGTCTTTTCTCAGTGGTGCCCAGGGACAGGACAAGAAGAAATGGGCACAAATTTGAACATAGGAAGTTCCACCTAAACATGAGGAGGAACTTCTTTCCTGTGAGGGTGGCAGAGCCCTGGCAGAGGCTGCCCAGGGAGGTGGTGGGGTCTCCTTCTCTGGAGACATTCAAACCCACCTGGACATGTTCCTGTGCGGCCTGCTCTGGGTGGATCTGCTTTGGCAGGGGGTTGGAGGAGATGATCTCCAGAGGTCCCTTCCAACCCCATATGATTTTGTGATTCTGCGATTCAGCTGCGCCTGTTGCTGGCAGTAACTTTCCCGCTGGGCACCAGAGCTCTGAGCCGGTTTTTCAACTGAAATTTGGAATAAGGGTTGAGCTGAGGTGCAGGCACGACACAGACTGCTCTTTCGCTTTCTAGGCTGTCGTATTTTATGGAGGGACCATCTGTTGTGAGTGTTTACAGGTGTTTGTTTCATGTTTCACTTCACTGGGAGGAGGCAGCGCTCTGCACTGGGTGACTTTTGTTTAACTGAGAGAAACCCCTGCAGAAGCGCTCACTTTCCAAGAGCACGAGGAAGGATGGACCCGAAATGCTCAAGCATTGACCCTCTGAAAGGGAGGTCTCTCTACCCAGCTCCAGCCTGGCTGGGGCGAAGCGATGGAGGGGGTTCTTCTCCTCACCCTCTCAGCCAAGACCAGAGCGGGGTTTAACAGGTGAGACCTGAATGGAGCTGAGGGATGGCTGAGGAGTCAATTCCAGGGGGTTTTGGGCTCCGTGGTGCTGGGAGCACTCCCAAGGCTTCTGATCTCAGCTCAGAACGCTGAGCACAGAGAATCAGTGTTCCTGTTCCCTGACCCTTGTGTCAGCTTGGGGCAATAACTCTTGTCTTTGTTTTCTTGGGCACTGTAGGTCTTCGGGCAGTACTGACTCCTTCTCCAGTGACCTCATGTCTTTGTTTTCTTGGGCACTGTAGGTCTTTGGGCACTGACTCCTTCTCCAGTGACCTCGCGCTGTTCAGGCCGTTCTTTCTCTGTTGATCCAGTGCAGTTTTGCAAGGGAAGGGAGAGGTGGGAAGCATTTGCAGGCTGTTCCTAGCGAGGGTGGTGACTTTAAACCCTCCCCCTGTCTCAGGAGAAAGGTGCAATGGCCTGTGTTCTTTTTATTTCTGATACCTTTTCAGCTTGGTGGTGTTAGTGTTTCTAGGCTTGAATTTAGCTGCCTTTCACCTTGATGGATTGTGCATCTTCTGAGCACCTCCCTGTGTCAGAAAATATGGTTTTTGACTCCTCTGCTGTAACTGTTTCCACTAAACCTCTGTAGCAGGTACAGCTTTACCCTGTCAGCAGGATAATACATTGACCCCGGCCACCTCTGGATGCTCCCCACTCATTGCACCATTTCCAGTCTTCGGATTTCTTGCCTTTTGAAACATTTATCTTTACTGCCTTGCTGAAAGATGTCAAGTATTAATATTTTCTGGGGTTGAAAATGGGGCTGCTGGCACAGAACTGCGTGAGTGAAACTTCGGACAGCACTGAAATGGTTTGGAAATGGTCTTTTTCCTCCAGCAGAGAGGCTGCAGGACTGAAGGAAGACAGAGGGTGAGGGAAATACAAACAGGAGAATGTCTTCACGGCGAGGACGGGGCTGGGCTGAGCTGTAGTAATTTGATATTAACGGGTGTTGTTAGCGCGGTAACGGTCTGGCTGACTTCTTTTAGAAAACCTTTCACCCATGTGTAACAAAACTTTATTGGAGCTGGAACTACGTGAAGTTTTTACGCTTTGTGTCTTCTGTCTGATTAACTGAAATTCTGCCCTACTCTTCTGGGGTGTTTCAGAAGAGCTTTCTGGTATGTATTTAGTCTGATGTCTAGCAAGGTACCAGCCTTGTGTTTGCTGTCTTCTGCCTGGTTCCCTTTTTCTCATAGGACTTGTAGGATCTCAGTTATTTCTGCTTTGAGCTGCCAGACCTGAGTCTGCTGGGCTGGTTTCAGCTGGGGGGGAGGGTTGTGTGTGTGGCATCACCCCCTTTCCATAGGAAATACAGATTATTACCAGCTCTTAAGCCTCGCTGTGTTGGAGTTGTCTCAGTCCACAAGGATTGCAAGTAACACATGGCTTCACTGTGCTGTACAAACACGGCTCCCAAATGTATCCCTACTGGATATTGCCACTTGGACAACATGGATAAGCACAGGTTTCGATATCAGGTTGTCGGATAAGCGTATTCCTGATGAGGCAGGTAACAAAAAGGCCTTGTTTCCTGAGAGAGTCACTTTGAGATTTACAACTTGGCTGGGAAGTCTGCTGACCTCAAACTGTGTTAACATTTCTCATGAAGGTGCAGGCATCAAAGCTCGGTAAAGTGGCACTTAGGCAAAGGTGTGTGTGTGGTGGCCTCTTGGAAAGGCAGCTCTTGCTTTTTGTTAAGATGTGTGGGGTTTTCCAACTGTGAACTGCAGCGGGTGTGGAATAAACCAGTTCCCCATGAGGCATGTTCTGGATCAAATGTGTGGGTCCCCTGGACTCGAACCACACTTCGCCCAGTGATACAAAATCCTGAGATGAGCCCCGTTGAGAATAGGGCTCTTCTTCTTGGAATTCAGGCCCGAAGGCAACAAATAACAAAAGAGCAAAAGGAGCTGTTGAAGATGCTCCAGTGGGGTGTAGCTGGAAAATGATTGGGAGGCTTTAAGGACAGCCTAATGAGTTTTCCCCTTGGTTCTTACTCTCAGGGTGGGATTTGTCAGCTGTGAATCAGCCTCTCTGGGAAGATAATCAGCTGACAGAGGTGCTGCTGGTTTAATATTGCCCTGTTTTACTCTTTTTCTATCCAGTACAAGATCCATCCTTGTTCTCCTCCCTTCCTGCCCCCTCTAAAACAGGGCCTTTACGCACATTCTTTTTCTATCCAGTACAAGATCCATCCTTCTCCCCGCTTCCTGCCCTCTCCCAAACAGGGCCTTTGCACACACTAGTCCAAGCCCCTGCATTACTGATGCTGAAGGATCTTGGTCTTCCTGGTGGATCCTGACTGCAGAGCTGTGAGGGGGCTGTGCCTCCACTGGATCTTGGTCTTCCCGTTGGATCCTGACCGCAGAGCTGTGAGGGGGCTGTGCCCTCCACCTCTGCTGCTGCTGGTCAAGGGCTGCACTTGCCAGGGGGCTTGTTGAGCTGTAGTGCGGGCAAAGTAACAGCAGTTCTGGAAACTTAGAAGGTGTTGACCTTTTTAGCTCAATTGGCTTCCTTTTTCCCCCCCCATCCATTGAGGTAGGTGTTGGAGCTGCCCCAGACCCCGTGAATCCAGGGGAGACTGCATTACGGTGAGCCTGGTGTTGCAGGGACAGAGGGTTGCAGCCCCAGTGAGCTGTGGTTACAGCACAGCCACAACTATTGTATCCCCCTCTGTAGCCCTTCTCAGGAGTGCTGAAACACACCCTTATGTTGGGATCACTGTTTGCTCTTCTGAAGCCTTCAGTCTTGGCAATGAATTCCTCCTATATATCATGGCAATGGGGCAGTGGTTTCTGGTGAATGGAGACTGTCCTGTGGTTCTGCTTCAGCTAGATTAGCCCATATCTCTGTGTCAAGAAGGGTTTTCTCTCTGAAAGTAACAGCACTCTTCAAATCAGTTAAAAGAACTTCTTTCAAAAGGAAAGAAACCTCTAAACCTCTTTGATCCTTGCACGGTGGAAGTGGGGGTGATTGGAATAGTTTAAGCCAACAGTGCTGATTTGGTCATGAGCAGAGTGCTTTCAAGAGCAGATCTGGATGAGGGAGAGCCCTTTGTATGACATATAGAACAAAGCCAGAGCTGTATAGGGGCTGTGATCATGGGAACGCTGACGAGGCTGGGCTGTGGCCAGAGCTGAGCTGTGGGAAATACCATGAGGGGCAGGGGTGCTGTCAGATGGGTGCTGCCCTCACTGAAACCGAGAGGTCTGAAGACATCTCGGTGAAGCACTGCCCTAAAACACCTGGGTAGGAGATGTGCAAGAACATGCCCTTCACCCACAGCCCCTCGGCGGGTGCAGGTGGCAGAGAGCTCCTCTTCTCTCCCTGGCCCATGGAGCAGCTGTGTGCGCTGGCAGGGCCTCACTTGGCAGCATGTGTGTGGAGGAAAACAAATTTTTTCACTGGTGTATGGCAAAGAGACACGAAAAGAGTGGGGCAAGAGGCAGTGGTTGTGGAAGGGATCAGTTGTGTTTTTAGCACAGGCTGTAGCTGAAAGGAGAGAGACTGTCAGCAGCGCTGATGGAGTGGAGGTTCTACAGGGAAGATACAGGCTCCCTCTTAGATCTTTAAGAGCACTTAGAAACCTTCCTTCCCTCAGTGTCTAGCTTGCAGAACTTCAGAAAGTTATTTTAATACTCCCCCCTCCTCTCCTTTCAACAAGTGCTACGATTCTGGGCACCAGCTTCTGAGAGTCACAAGCTTCTGAGTCTTGTCTTCCACTTGCCGTGCAACAGAGCTGTGTGTGTCTGCTCCTGATGCTTGAAGCCAGAGACAAGTCGCAGTCCTCTGTGAAGAAAGCATTCATATTTGAGTGCGGTTGTGGTTTAAGATTCTTAGATGAGCCCTCATAGGCAAAGAGGTGATAATTTCATTACAGTTGGCCCTCATGGTGAGATTCTCAAGAACCTGGTTAAGAGCAAGACAGCAGCTCTCTGCCACTCGGATCTTCCTAACAAGCTCTCACGCAGAGCAGGGTTTTCTTCCTCTCTAATCACAGTCTGTGGCTCAGTGTGACGAGTCTGAACGCTTTCCTTCTTGTCTCTGCAGCTGCTGAAAAGTCTGAAGAGGCTGTCGGAGCTGCCCATCACAGTTGACGTTCTTGTGGTAAGAGCTGTGAAATCTCTCCTGCTTCCCTCGTGTCTCTCAAGTCCCGGGAGAACTGTGATGCTTTCCCAGGAGCGAGGCCTGTTGCCTCGTCTGCCTGCTCCACCCTGTGTCACAGGCGTAATCGCGGTACGGCTCTAGAGATAAAAGGCAGCGCGAAGGAGCGTGTAAGTGTGAAGCCTCAGAAGACAATTTGTCATTCTCAGCTCTTCCAGAAGCTTCACACTTTACTGGGATGTGAGAACCGGAGCCATTCCTGACCCAAACAGAATCGGCGTTAGATTAAGAAGTGCTAATCCTGACAATTATTAGTAATTTCTGTCTTTAAACTTACCCGCGGTCATGGTAAATGCTAACTTGGGTTATGGCCACAAATAATTAATGTTTGTCTAAGGCAGAGTTAAGTCGTCTTGGATTTACAGAACTGTAGTAAACGCTCCAATGGCTGCTGAAAACATAATTTATTCTCTGGCGTATCTTTGCTGTTAGATCAAGGGGTCTGTCTTCTACCTGGTGGGGACAGGCAGGGGGTGAACTTTATTCACCCCCTGGGAAGTTGAGTAGAGGTGAGGATGCCCCGTGTCTTGCTCAGATGAACTGATGTCCGGTCTCTCTCCTGAAGGAGACGGGTGTTGGGAAGACTGTGAACAGCTTACGGAAACACGAGCTTGTAGGAGACTTCGCAAAGAACCTGGTAGCCAGGTGGAAGAAGCTGGTGCCGGTGTCCCAAGAGACAGACAGGTGAGTGAACCTGGGTGGTGATCTTGGTGGAGAAGCTTTGTTCTGGTTTTGCCATGGGGATGAGAAACTTCTCCGATGGAGGTAATAGATCTTGATGGAGAAGCTTTGTTCTGGTTTTACCATGGAGATGAGAAACTTCTCTGATGGAGGTAATGAAAGGGAAGGCTCTGGGAAGGCGCGTGAGGCAACTCTGGATGGGGTTTGTGCCTTGGTTTGGGAGAAATTCCCACCTCTGGTGAAGAGATCAACAGCAGAGGCCAGCAAAGTGCCTTTAATAAAGCAAGAGACACAATCTGCTTGCTTCACAAAGTTATGATGCTAAAGAGAGGAAGTTGTGGGCCCAAGGAGAGGAAATGGCTTGCTTTGAAAGAAGCCTTTTATGTGCAGAAATCCTGTGGCGACTGAAAGTTAATGCTGGCCAGTGTGTTGTGATAACAAAGCTGTGCTGGAGGCAGCAATGAGAGCCTTTAGCTGTGTTTCCCATAGGTGCCACACAGCCAGGAGTGTGAAGGCACAGAGAAGTCTCTCTGCACATCTGTCTCTGCTTCCCAGTGAACTGTGAAGTCTCTAGTCCCAATAAAAATGCTTAATGAATCCCTGCATTGGAAGTGCAGTTCCTAAATCCCTGAACGTTGCTATGCCTGCGAGAATTAGTGGTGTTCTTGCCACAAAACTACCAAATACAACCTTAGTCTTCTGTAGGAGAGGTTCCTGTCCATGGCAAGAGGCTCTTCTCATTCATATTGGGAAATTTTAGTCTCACTGCTTGCTTTTTTTATTTTCCTCTTCAGAAATAACCTAGATTCTGAAGACCGTGACTACGAGAGGAGCAGCTCAAGCAAAAGACATCAAGAACCTTCCCTCAGAGAGGATGAGGAACCCGAGCAGGAGTATTCAGAAGCCTTCCAGCCGTCTTGCAGCCAGTCCTATAGCCCGGCTCACAGGGAAAAGAAGTCCAAAAGGTATCCTAGGCCTGAGAGAGCCCACGAGACTTATGGCTATAGCAGCCAGGAGGGGAAGGGTTGGGGCAGATCTTCCCCAGTGCTCTCTTCAGATCAGGAGTACTCGGACTATGGACAAGCTGTGTCACCTGAGCCAAGTGAGAGCCCTCAGGACACGTACACAGACCCTTACGCCTCTGAGGAGCAGGAAGAACCGACGGTTTTTCGCCAGAAAGCCAGTAAAGGCCACAACCTTCAGGAGAAGCAGGGAGCAGGCCGGGAGAGGAATTCTGGGGAGTTCTATGACAAAGGGAACACGAGTCGAAGCAAAGAGCACAAGTCTTCTCACAAGAAGCAACGACTTGATGGCAGAGGGGAGGACAGGACCTCTGCCTTCAGCCCAGAAAGATTGCACAAGACCTCATTTAAAGAGCAGCTCCGAGAAGCCCCCGTGGCAGGAGGCAGCAAGGAGAAGCAGAGGACGTCAGATGGCACCAAGAGGGAGAAGAACAGAGAAAGCAGCACCTCCAGAAAGGAGAAGTTGCCGCCCTTGGAAGAGTCTTTGGACAACCATGTTAAAAAGCAAAAACATCGGGACTCTGAAAGAGGCAAAGTGGAAAAGGCCAAACTGAGCCTGGAGACCTCGACCACAGAGCGGGAGAAACGGAAAGCTGAGGGTGACTCATCAAATAGGATTAAAGAAAAGGGGGTTTCTGGGAGCTCAAAATCTTCAGAGGGGAAGCGCAAATCCTCTGAGGCGGACAAAAAATCAATGGGTTTTTCCTCCAATTTTGGGGAGGGAGAAGCAGAGGATGAATTTGAACAACCTACAATGTCTTTTGAGTCGTACCTCAGCTACGACCAACCCCAGAAAAAGAAAAAGAAAGTGGTCAAACCCTCTGCGCCAGCTGTGGAGAAAGACCCAGGGCACAGCAAACAGAACGGATCCAAAGCCAGTTCCAACGGCTCAAGCTCGAGTCAGAAGAGTCCAAGCCACAAGCGAACGAGTGAGAAAAAGGCAGAGAAGGAACCACCAGAGGCTCCTAAACCAAAGAGGGTAAGGTTTTGAAGGATCTGCAAGTGAACCAAGGATGTGGGATCAGCTGCTCTCGGTCCTCTGCCCTCTGGGGTTCTTAGTTTTCCCCTTGGATGTGCTGGCTGTGTTGTGCTTCATGCTGTGCTTGCGGTGTCTCGCTGGCATCTGGCTCTGTGACTCCTGGTTCCTGCTGGGAGATGCTGTGTGTTTGATATGCCCTGCACCGCAGGCATCGCTTTGTGCTGTTTGAGTGGAAGTTCTGCTGGAAAAGCAGGTGAAGAGAGAGGTGGGGGAGAAATGCAGTAGTCAAACCCCTGTTTATTCAAAACTGCAGAGAGTAAAAAGAGAACATCTTCAGCTAAATACTTGTATGAAAGCATATTGAACAGGATACGCTTGTTAAGCATTCAGAGTATCTTTAGATCTGAATCAGCTTAGAATGCCTCATAGGCAGTGTATCTCCACCTGCTAGAAAGGTTCCCATGTCTCTCCTATCAAGTATTATGTGTCTTTTTCTAAAATGGACCTTTTTTTATCTATATCTGTACTGCGGTTCTGTTAACTAAATCTGTTGGTCTCCGTAAATGGGGGACAAATGGGAGAATGAGCATTAAAATGCAACTTATTCTAGAAGACAGACCTTCTTTTGTGAAAGCTTGTAAAACGAGCACTGTTTCTGTACGTATTGATGGCCACGTGTGTGCCAGGGGTTTGTATATAAATAGGGACTAACGGCTAAAACCTTGACTGCTGCTTTTGGCTGCTTTGTATTGACAGCCCCGACGGAGCCACAGTAACGTGGCCGAAGGGCAGCCTCCCGCTGAGGCTGTTTCCTGGTGTGAGCTGATCAGCATTGAGTGGCTCCTTCAAAACCCAGCTCAGTGCTGTTTGAACGCTGGCAGGACGTAAGATTCTCATCTTACTTGCATGTGCTTTGTCTCCTTCCAGATAGTTTTAGATGTGGTCCCGACGTTACCAGACATCCCACTGCCGCCGATCCAGGCCAACTACCGTCCTCTTCCTTCGATCGAGTCTATTCCCTGCTCCCAGACAAAAAGGAAAGGTATGTTGGGCAGGCAAATAGGTCTGAAATGGGCTGCAGCCACTCCGGCTGGGCTGTTTTTGCTCTGTTCCTTTCTTACTCCAAGTCTTTCACTCCACAGCGGTGTCCTCACCAGTTGAAGAGAGTGAGGCGGGTTTCACAGGCCGCCGGTTGAATTCAAAGATGCAAGTGTATTCAGGCTCGAAAACTGCCTACCTCCCAAAGATGATGTCTCTGTATCAGCAGTGTATCCGTGTCCTCAGCAACAACATCGACTGTAAGTACCTTTCCTTGTCTGTCTTAAAGTCACGTCTTAAAGTCAGCAGATTTACTGCTGTCTTGGTACCTCGTTTGTGTCTCTCCCAGTAGCGTCGGGCTGGGAGCATGAGAAGAGTCAGTTGCCCCTTCTCGCAAGGCAAGCTGACTGATATGGGGGAAATCTCCCTGAAAGCTCCAGTGCTGCTGCAGCATCAGCAGCCAGCATGCTCTCAGGGAGGGCTCGAGCACTGGGAATAATGGTAAATGAAGCCTTGTGCAGGCACTTCTGCACTTGGAGAGACTGGTGCCTGCTGACCCACCAGAGCGATGGCACCCACGGTTCCTTTCTCCTTCCCCTCCTCTTGTGCAGTGGCTGCAGCAGTTTCCACTGCATTCGAGTCGAGCCTTTTTCCTTGGTGAGGAAGGGGCAGGATAAATACTCTGCATTTTGCTTCTCTCTCTAGCCATCTATGAAGTGGGTGGTGTTCCTTTCTCGGTACTGGAGCCAGTGTTGGAGAGATGCACCCCAGAGCAGCTCTATCGCATTGAGGAATGTAACCATGTGAGTGGCTGGGCCTGGGGAAGGGCTGGTGACACGCGGGAGGGACGTTCTGTCCTCATCTGCAATAGATGAATAGTCAAGAACAGCCTCTTGACAGCAAGAGGTGGCTTTTGCTGGTCCTGAGTTCCCTCTGCCCCTCTCTTGCTGCACGTTGCTCCCAAAGCTGCCTTGTCCTCGCTGCTGTTCCAGTGCCACCGGCGCCAGGCGGTGCCGAGGGAGAGGGGGGTGAAGGTGTCCGGGGGGATCCCAGCTCACGGGTGGGTTTGTTTCAGGTCCTCATTGAGGATACAGATCAGCTCTGGCACAACCACTGTCTCAGAGACTTCAAGAATGAGAAGCCTGAGGAGTTTGAGTCCTGGCGGGAGATGTACCTCCGCCTTCATGATGCACGAGAGCAGCGGCTGCTCATGCTGGCCCGGAACATTGGCTCAGCTCACGCCAACAAGCCCAAAGGTAAGGTAGGGCTGAATGATGGGAGGGCTGAGGAGAGACTGAGAGAGCTGGGGCTCTTTAGTCTGGAGAAGAGAAGGCTGAGGGGAGACCTTATCAATGCCTACAAGTATCTCAAGGGAGGGTTGAAGGAGGAGGGAGCCAGACTCTTTTCAGTGGTTCCCAGTGAGAGGACGAGGGGCAACGGGCACAAGTTGGAACATAAAGGGTTCCACTTGAATATGAGGAGAAACTTCTTCACGGTGAGGGTGGCAGAGCCCTGGAACAGGCTGCCCAGGGAGGGTGTGGAGTCCCCTTCTCTGGAGATCTTCAAGACCCGCCTGGATGCTCCTGAGTAACATGCTCTAGCTTTAGGCAATCCTGCTTCAGCAGGGGAGTTGGACTAGATGATCTCTATGGTCCCTTCCAACTCTAAAATTCAGTGAAATTCAGTGAATGCTGCCGAGGGTATGTTTGTGTGGGGGGAAGGTCTTCCAGAGTGACTGGTTTAAATCTAGTGTGATTTAGGAGTTGTTTAACATTCTGGTCTTTATGTTGTGGCCATTGCTTATTGGCTTAGCAGGCTCTAGACTTCATCTGTAATGCTGTTGATGCAGATGAGCCAGAGCAATATTTTACAGCAAGAATATATATGTAGGGCTGCAGAGACACCTCCTGTTATGCTTGAGTGGGTTCTCCATGCTGGGGCTGAAGAACCCCAGGGTTGAGGGAAGCATTCCTGCTCTTTTGGTGAACATTATGAGAACTGTTGACCTGATCAGTCTGATTTCTCACAGCCCATGTTGACCGAAAGAGGTTCAGACCTTAGGGAGGAGGCAATGGCCTGAGCTTTGGAATGGATGGGTTGGGGAAAGGTGGATGGAGCTGACTGTAATAAGACAAGCACTGAGGAGCCTCCTTTATCACTAACTGGATCTAACCAGTGTTTCCCTCTGGCCTCTTACAGGTCGAGTGGCCAAAATGGCATATGTGAACTCTGCAGCAAAGCCCCCTCGGGATGTACGACGGAGACAAGAGAAGTTTGGGACTGGAGGAGCTCTTCTGCCAGAGAAGACCAAGTGAGTGTTTCTCAAGAAGCGCTTACTGTTCAGAGCCTCTTCTATGCATCCCCCTGAAGCTCCGTGTCCTGGCAGGAAGGGACACTGTGTCCTCCGGAGGCCCTTTTCCAGGGAATCCTGTACCTGTAATAGCCTCTGTCTTGCTGGGAAGCCTGGAGGTCCTGGTCCCTGCTGGTTCCGTGGGGTCTCAGCCATGCTGCTGTTATCAAATGTGGCTTGGACCTGAAGAATTGCATCAAACCACAGCGAATCCTTTCCTGAAATGTCCCATCTCTTTTTCAGAATAAAACCAGTCCTGTACACATCTAGCAAAAGCCACGCTCGTGTGAGTGAGGAGCAGTCCTATGATGGGCCCAGCACCAGCAGTGCCCACTCTGTCCCATCCTCAGCCAGCACCTTCTCCTCCTGCGACCCCAGGAAACCACCAGTGAAGAGTAAGTACAAACCCCAGAACGTCCCTGGGTCTCCCTGAGCTCCTCCCTCACAAACGCCCAAATCTGGGGCTTCTCCTGGCTCTGCAGGAGGGGGATGTTGGTGGCCTCTCTCCTCTCCCCAGGGAGAGGCTAAAGGCTGTTCCAACGCTTCCATCTGCCTTGGCTCTGCTTTGCCAGGGCTGCAGCTTGGAGCTGCTTTCTGCTCCCCTCCTCTGTGGCTGCTGCTTTAATGTGAGGGATTTTTGGTTGATTTTTTTCTTTTTGTTTTTTTTTTTCTTTCTTTCTCTGTTGCAGAAATTGCACCCATGATGGCAAAGACTATCAAAGCTTTCAAAAACAGGTTCTCTCGGAGATAAGTTTGAGTGCAGACCTGGAACTTTCCCTCTTGTGGGGGAGTGGCACAGAAGGGGAGAAGGTCCCCAAACAGCCCTTTTCTTTGGACCCTTGGGAGGCTGCAGCTGCTGGGAAAAGCTTCGATCTGCACAAGATGACAGCACAGTATTTTATCTTTTATTCTGGTCCCTTTCTCAGTGTCAAGCCCTCTTCTTTTATCCTGCCCTTAACATCCTGTTTCTAGCTTCGTCATCCGTCAACAAGAAGGGTGTACAGAATCTCTCAACGCAAGAAAATGTGAAGTCTTGGCACCTGCTGAGAGTGGAAGATCCAGAGACTATTTACTATTTAACCTCTTAATAAATTATAAAATGGTTTTAATTAATATTTTGCCCCCTATCCAACTGGTATTATTTATGTTGCTCCTCATAGGCTCCCCCCTCGCAATGCAGTCTGAGGGTCGGCCTCTCTGTGCCTGGAGCTGGCAGGAATCCCTCTGAGTGGACACTGGGTCTCACTGGACTCTTTTCCTCATGAGTTGGTACCTGCTGGCCCAAAGTCCCACCTGGACCCTCTGGGACAGGTCGGACCAGTGGCCCGTCTGCTCATCGATCCTTTGGCAAGTCCATAATGTCCTGAGGCTTTGCTCTCTCCTCATGTATGTTCATAAAATCTTGTCTTTTGCCCTTTGCTGTTACTGTAGATCTTGTCAAGATCCTTACATTGTTGTGCAGGGATGGCAAGAGCCAGCAGGGACTTGATCTCTGCTCCTGTGGTCTCCTGCTGGCTACTGGAAGAAAACTTTGAGGGGTTTTGGGAGAAATCTTACTGTGCACCAAGTCAGATTTTAATTTTTTTTTTTTTTTGAGAGGGGACTTTGTCTGCCTCTGTTATTCAAAACAGTTTTTAAGTATCAATTGCTTGGAGGTTCTTGCAGGAGAACAGAGCTTCCCTCTACCCTTGACTGATTAATGGTGTGTCTCTATCGGGGAGGGTTGTTCCCTTTGACCAAGTGTGCAGTTTTGGGAGGGACGCACATGGAGTGGAGAGGGAAGGGGACATCTCCCTCACCAGCCAGATCAGCCCAATCAACCCTGGTGACCCACGGGGTGACAGACGTCGCAGCCAGATCACCCTCGCATCCAAAGGTTTGGCCAGATGACCCTTGAGGACCCTTCCAACCTGGTATCTGTGATTCTGTGATATCAGTGAAGGCAGGGGTTTGCCTCTTTTGGTGGAAAGAAGGAATCCTTTTCTCTTGTTTTCTGTGTGGAACTGGGAAAGACTTATTTCCAGTTTGGAAGCTGGTGCTTAAATCGTGTCTCTTCCCTGTATGTTTTCCTCTGTGCCCCCTCTTTGGAAAAAGGATGGATTTTAGTCTTTGAATTGGAAACCACTTGACTGGGGTTGGAGGGAAGTGAATAAGGGAGTGTTGTGAACATAGGAAGAGTTCAAAAGGCTGGGCTGTGCTTGGTGTCTGAGGAACTGGAGCTCTGGAAGGAAAGGCTGTGGGATGTGGCCCGGTGGCTGGGCTTGTTGGAAGTGTGAGGAGGTGCCCTGAAGCCCAGCTCCTTCCCCTGGGGAGGTCGGGAGCCCGAGTACTGTGTGAATGGGGTGATTCCAGGTCCCTGTGCTGAGGCTGCAGCTGAGAGAGCGAGGAGCCGGGCACCCCCAGGCACTGGCTCTTCAGTGCCAGGCCTTGTTGTGGGGAGCATGTGGGGCTGGGGGTCACATCTGCCTCCAAAGGGAACTTGCCCAGAGGAGGTGCCAGCAGAGGAGGTGCCAGCAGAGGATGGGGCTGGGTAGAGCCAGGATGGGTGCCCAGGGAGCCAGGCTCTCTGGTAGTGCTCAGAGGTCCCACCGGCTGGGGAAGAAAAAGGAGAGATTCTCCTGCTGGAAGCCATATTGGCTGCCCGAGGCCTTGGCTGGCTGGGGAAGGGGCCCGTAGTGGAGGCTGCTGGTGGTGGTGGCTCTGGAGAAGCTGCTGCTGGTCCCGTGGCTGCCAAAGCCCGGCCCCGTGGAGCTGTAGGTACGGCCTGAGCGGGGCCAACCTTGCTGGGAAGAGCCCTCCCGGGAGGGCTCCACAAACCCCCTGGAGGCTGCTGCTTTCTGGGGGTTTCTTCCTTTTCCTCCTTCTCTGTCTTTCCAACCATTCTGAACGCCTCTCTGGTGTTCGTTGGGTCTGTTCTTGTCTTCTTTGGAAGGTCCTGGACAAATGTTCTCAGACTCTGATGTGCTCTAAGTCTGTTCCAGTCCCAGATGCTTTCATGTTCCCGTGCAGCATTTCAGTGTGTGTTGTGCTGTAAAATAACGGCTCCTTCCTCTTGCCATTTTGCTGTCTTTAATTTTGATGTATTTTTAATGAGATAACAATATATTCTCTTCTGCTGAGCGTTGTGCCACCCTTTATTTCTCTGCTGTACTGGGGGCAGAGGGGAGGGAAGAGGAGTCTGGCATCATGAGGGACGAGCAGGGGGGTCCCTGTCCTGGGACACAGACTGAGCACAGCCTTGGGGACACAGAGCTGGCTTGGGGCCGGGGGTGACACGTGTGCCACGTGTCCCTGCTGCGCTGCAGCCCAAGGAGCTGAGCAAAGCTCTGCCTCTGCCCCCATGGCCACCCCACAGGTGGTGGGGTGAGGAAGGTGGGCAGGCGGGGAGCGACGGGGGCTGGCAGGGGGGGGTTTGGTCCCCGATGTGTACAGACAATTTTCTATGTTCCTTTTTTTTTTTTTTTGTGGTAACTAAGAGGAATATTTTAATGAGAATGAGTTCTATGAGAAGAGGAAAATCATGTCTCAATAAAAGCCAAACACTGGAGCGAGTCTGTCTGTTGTTCTGTCTGAGCGAGAACCGCTGAGGATGCTCTGGGTGGGCCCTGTGGGTGGTGGGGGAGTGACTGACTGATGGCTGATGGGAGCAGGGATTCTCCTGTCTGTTTTAGCTCCTGGAGGGAGGGAGATCCCTTTGAATAGTTGTTGGGTTGGTTTTTTTTAAATAAAGAAGTGAGAGAGCACGGAGTGCTCCGAGTTCCTGCTTTTGCAGAAAGAAATACACCTTTTTTGAGCCCCTCTTTTTATCAGTCTCCAGCGTACTGTGGTCGGGGTTCCTTCACGTACCCCAGTGTGCTGAGATCTGTATCTGCCCAGCTTGGGTCCCTGCTCTTCTTTTGCCTTTTTTCACAGTGTTGGGTTTCTAGAACACGGTGTTGCTTTGTGGCAGCATTTGTTGGTGTTTTCTCCCTCAGAAGACAGAGCAAATCCAGTTTCTCGTTGTTGAGAGCCATGGGGGCAGTGGGAATGGCTGGGAGGAAACAAACGAGCTGTCCTGTGTGTTAATAACTTCCTGGGCTCCTTCCCTCTCTTCCCAGGTTCAGGAACATTCCTCACATGTCCTTTGATGACATGGCCAGGGAACTGGAGCAGACGTTTAGCCTGAACCAGGACCCAACGGGGGAGCTGGAGTACCAATACTCGATACCAAGCTGTGTGGTGTTGTCGATACACCAGAGGGACGGGATGTCATCCAAAAGGACCTGGACAGACTGGAGAGGTGGGCCCAGGTGAGCCTCATGAGGTTCAACAAGAGCAAATGCAAGGTTCTGCACCTGGGCCAGAACAATCCTCACCACCAATACAAACTAGGGGGTGAGGTATTGGAAAGCAGCCCTGAGGAAAGGGACTTGGGGGTTCTGGTGGATGAGAACCTGGACATGAGCAGGCACTGGGCAGCTGCAGCCCAGAAGGGCAATTGCATCCTGGGCTGCATCAAAAGAAGTGTTGCCAGCAGGTCCAGAGAAGGGATTCTGCCACTTTACTCTGCTCTGCTCTTGTGTGCAGCTCTGGAGCCCTCAATATAAGAAGGACATGGACCTGATGGAGAGGGTCCGGAGGAGGGCCACAAGGATGATCAGGGGGATGGAGCACCTCTGCTACGAGGACAGGCTGAGGGAGCTGGGGTTGTTCAGCCTGGAGAAGAGGAGGCTCCGGGGAGACCTAATAGCGGCCTTCCAGTACCTGAAGGGAGCCTACAGGAAGGCTGGGGAGAACCTGTTTAGAAAGGCCTGTAGTGACAGGACGAGGGGCAATGGCTTCAAGCTGGAGGGGAACAGATTTAGATTGGAGATTAGGAGGGGGTTCTTTACTGTGAGGGTGGTGGAGCACTGGAACAGGTTGCCCAGGGAGGTGGTTGAGGCCCCATCCCTGGAGATATTCAAGGAGAGGCTCGATGAGGCCCTGGGCAACCTGGTCTAGTTGGGGGTGTCCCTGCTGACTGCGGGGAGGTCGGACTAGATGGCCTTTGGAGGTCCCTTCCGGCCTGGGAAATTCTATGATTATACCCCACCAAGTACGATGCCGACCCACGGGCCTGGGGGGCGGAGGGGGCTGCTCCTCCTGCTCCCTGGGCCGTTTGTGCTGGGAGGAAGGGGCAATGCATCGGGGTGGCAGCCTGGACACACAGCTCCGGTTAATAAAACACACCATTACTGTTGGGATCAGTATTTTGTTCCTCCAAAGCAAACAAGAAGACCTTCAGTCATGGCAAGGAATTCCTAAATCTAATGGCGATGGGGCAGTGGTTTGTGGTGAACAGAAGCTCTGAAGAGGCTGCCGGAGGTGCCCACGGCAGTGGACGTTCTTGTGGTAAGAGCTGGGAAATCTCTCCCCCTTCCCTGGGGTCTCTCCAGTCCCAGGAGAACTCTTGGCCCCGGCAAAGCTGCCTCCCCAGGAATGGGGCCTGTGCCCTCGGCCGCCTGCTCCAGCCCCGTCTCACAGGCCCCATTGTGATGCGGGTCTGGAGATAAAAGGCAGCGCCAAGGAGCGCGTCCCTGGAGAGTCTTGGAGGAACCTCTCGTGTCCCCAGCTCTTCACCAGCCCTCACCTTGAACGAGACCTGAGATTCTTGACTCTGAGATAGAATAGGCATTAGATTAGGAACTATTATCCCGACGATTATTAGTTATTAGAACTAATATTAGTTTAGATTATTAGTTTATTAGTTTACTAGTTTATTCGATTACTAGTTTAATAGGTTATTAGATTATTAGTTTATTAGTTTACTAGTTTATTCAATTACTAGTTTAATAGGTTATTAGGTTATTAGTTTATTAGTTACTAGAACTAATAATCCCACACAAGTATTAGTGAAGTTTTTCTTCACCAACTTTACCCGCAGTCATGGTAAGTACTAACTTGGGTTATGGCTACAAATAATTAATGTTTGTCTAAGGCAGAGTTAAGTTGTCTTGGATTTACAGAACTGTAGTAAACGCTCCAATGGCTGCTGAAAACATAGTTTATTCTCTGGGGTATCTTTGCTGTTAGATCAAGGGGTCTTCCTTGTACCCGGTGGGGACAGGCAGAGGTGAGGATGCCCCGTGTCTTGCTCAGATGAACTGATGTCTGGTCTCTCTCCTGAAGGAGCCAGCTCTTGGGAACACCGTGACCGAGCTGGACGCAGACTTTGAGGCCAGTTTCCAGGCTGCGTGGCAGAAGCTGGAGCAGCTCTGCGAGGAGGCAGTGAGGTGAGTGACCCTGGGTGGTGATCCTGATGGAGAAGCTTTGCTCTGGTTTTGCCATGGGGATGAAAAACTTCTCCGATGGAAGTAATAAAAGGGAAGGCTCTGGGAAGGCTTGTGAGACAAGTGTGTGAACTCCGGATGGGGCTTGGGCCTTGGTTTGGCAGAAATTCCTGCCTCTGCGGACCAGAGAGCGTTGGGCTGCTGGTGGCCACAGTTTTGGGTGAATATAGGGACCGACTGTCAAGAATTTGTGGTTTTATGAAGCAATTAACAGCTTTAAAAGGCCTTTCAAGGCCAGCAAAGAGCCTTTGATAGCAAGAGATGCAATCTGCTTGCTGCCCGTGTTTTCATATAATGATTTTGGGGTTTTTATCCCTTCAGAGACAACAAATGTGCTGAGAAGGAGAAATGCCGGGACTCTGAAAGAGGCAAAGTGGAGAAGACCAAGCGGAGCCTGGAGACCTCCACCAAAGGGCGGCAGGAAGGGTCATCTAAGAGTGACTCTTCCAAGAAAACTAAAGAGAAGGGGATTTCTGGGAGCTTCAGCTCTTCCGAGAGAAAGCGCAAATTCTCTCATGTGGCCAAAAGATCAACTGGCTTTCCCTCCCTTTTGGGGGAGGATGAAAAGGAAGAGAAATTTCCACTACCCACCATGTCCTTTGAGGAGTACCTCAACTATGACCAGCCTCAGAAAAAGAAAGTGAAGAGAGCGGTCAGAGCCTCTGTGTCGGCGGGGAAAGAAGAGCAGCCCCGTGTCGACAGCTCCTGCTCCTGTCAGCCCAGCCCCAGCCGCAAGCGCAGCCATGAGCAACGGGGAGAGCAGGAGCCACCAGAGGCTCCTGAACCCAAGAGGGTAAGGTTTGGAAGGGTCTGCAAGTGAACCAGGGATGTGGGACCAGCTGCTCTCGGTCCCCTGCCCTCTGGGGCTTCTTCCTTTTCCCCTTGGAGGTGCTGGCTGTGTCAAACCTTGACTGCTGAGCTGAGTCTTTTTGCTCAACTTTGAAACACTTTCCCCTTCAAAGAGTGTTTTTTATAATCTTAGCAGCCTGTTAGGATGCTGAGAAGGTGCCTCATATCCATGTTATGGGTATGTGACCTGCCTGCACGTCATCTCCTTCCAGACACTTCTCAACGTGGACATAAAGCTCCCAGAGATCCCCCTGCCGCCGATCCAGGCCCGCTGCAGCCCCCTTCCTGCTGCTGAGTCCCCTCCCTGCCCCCAGAAGAAAAGGAGAGGTATGTTGGGCAGGCCAATTGGTCTGAAATGGGCTGCAGCAACTCAGGCTGGGCTCTTCTTTGCTCTGTTCCCTTCTTACTCCACCTCTTCCACTTCACAGCGGCTCCCTCGGCAGCTGAAGAGCCAGAAGGGGGTTTCCCAGGCTGCCGGGTCTATTCCAAGACCCCGGTGTTTTCGGGCCTTAACACCGCCCGAGTCCCAAGGGCTCCTTCTCAGCAGCCTGTCCCAGGGGTCACCAACAACACTGCCTGTAAGTACCTTTCCTCCAGCACTGGAAATAGGGGGAAATGGAGCCTTGTGCAGGCACTTCTGCACTGGGAGAGACTGGTGCCTGCTGACCCACCAGAGTGAGGGCACCCAGGGTTCCTTTCTCCTTCCCCTCCTCGTGTGTGGTGGCTGCAGTGGTTTCACTGCACTCAAGGAGCTGAGCCCTTTTCCTTGGTGAGGAAGGGGCAGGATAAATACTCTGCATCTTGCTTCTCTCTCTAGCCATCTGTCAAGAGAGTGGTGTCCCTCTGCTGCGGCCTGTGTCGGACAGATGCCCCCCAGAGCCGTTCTCTGGCACGGAGGGACGTCACCATGTGAGTGGCTGGGCCTGGGGAAGGGCTGGTGACACGCGGGAGGGACGTTCTGTCCTCATCTGCAATAGATGAATAGTCAAGAACAGCCTCTTGACAGCAAGAGGTGGCTTTTGCTGGTCCTGAGTTCCATCTGCCCCTCTCTTGCTGCACGTTGCTCCCAAAGCTGCCTTGTCCTCGCTGCTGTTCCAGTGCCACCGGCGCCAGGCGGTGCCGAGGAAGAGGGGAGTGAAGGTGTCCGGGGGGGATCCCAGCTCACGGGTGGGTTTGTTTCAGGTCCTCTCTGAAGATACAGAAAGGCTCTGGAGGGACCGGTGTCTCCGCGAATTCAAGAACGAGGAGCCCAGAGGGGCCGAGTCCTGGCGGGAGATGTACCTCCGCCTGCACGAGGCACGGGAGCAGCGGCTGCTCCAGTTGGCCCAGAAGATCAGCTCAGCTCAGGCCAACAAAGGTGAGGAAGGGCTGGACCATGAGAGAGGGCTCTGGGAATGCTGCTGAGGGGACGTCTTGGTGTGAGGAAAGTCTCCAGAGTGGCTGGTTGAAATCCAGTCCAATTCAGGAGCTGCTTCACTCTCTGTTCTCTGCTAAGACAGGAACGGAGGAGCCCCATTTATCATGAGCTGCATCTGAGCCATGTTTCCCTTTGGCCTCCTACAGATCGAGCGTCCAAAACCGTGCTTCTGCACTCCCCGCCAAAGGCTCCTCGGGACGTACGACGGAGACAAGAGAAGTTTGGGACTGGAGGAGCCCTGCTGCCAGAGAAGACCACGTGAGTGTTTCTCAAGGGGCGCCTGCGTAACTGTAATAGCCTCTGTCTTGCTGGGAAGCCTGGAGGTCCTGGTCCCTGCTGGTTCCGCGTGGTCTCAGCCATGCTGCTGTTACCAAACGTGGCTTGTACCTGAAGAATTGCATCAAACCACAGGGAATCCGTTCCTGAAATGGCTGTCCCTTCTCTTTTTCAGAACAAAACCAGTCCTGTGTGCATCCAGCACCTTCTCCTCCTGTGACCCCAGGAAACCACCAGTGAAGAGTAAGTACAAACCCCACAACGTCCCTGGGTCTCCCTGAGCTCCTCCCTCACAAACGCACGAATCTGGGGCTTCTCCTGGCTCTGCAGGAGGGGGATGTTGGTGGCCTCTCTCCTCTCCCCAAGGAGAGGCTAAAGGCTGTTCCAACGCTTCCATCTGCCTTGGCTCTGCTTTGCCAGGGCTGCAGCTTGGAACTGCTTTCTGCTCCCTTCCTCTGTGGCTGCTGCTTTAATGTGAGGGGTTTGGGGGTTGATTTGTGTTTTGTTTTTTTCTTTCCCTGTTGCAGAAATTGCACCCTTGATGGCACAGTCCATCAAAGTCTTCAAAAACACATTATCTCGGAGATAAGCTGCAGTCCAGACCTGGGACTTTCCCTCTTGGGTACGCGTGGCCTGATGGAGAAGGTCCCCAAACAGCCCTTTTCTTTGGACTCTTGGGAGGCTGCAGCTTTGTCATCTCTCAAAAGAAGGGTGTAGAGCATCTCCTGAGAACATGTCAAGTCTTCACACCAGCAGAGAGTGGAAGATCCTGAGAATATTTATTTTTTAACCTCTTAATAAATTATAAGATAGTTTTACTTGATATTTTGCCCCATGTCTCGTCCCGTAGTCTCTCCCCTTGCAATGCCGTGCGAGGGCCGGACTCTCAGTGCCTGGAGCTGGCAGGAATCCCTGTGTCTGAGTGGACACTGGGTCTCATGGGACACTTTCCTTGTGAGCTGGTACCTGGACTCTCTAGGACAGCTCGGACAGGTGGCCCATCTGCTCATCGATCCTTTGGCAAGTGCATAACATCCTGAGGCTTTGCTCTCTCCTCGTGTATGTTCATAAAATCATGTCTCTCACCCTTTTCTCTGCTGTTACTGTAGATCTTGTCCAGATGCTTACGTTGTTGTGCAGGGATGGCAAGAGCCAGCGGGGACTTGTTCTCTGCTTCTGTTGTCTCCTGAGTGGAGAGGGAAGGAGACATCTCCCTCACCAGCCAGATCAACCGAATCAACCCTGGTGACCCACGGGGTGACAGACGTCGCAGCCAGATCACCCTCGCATCCAAAGGTTGGGCCAGATGACCCTTGAGGTCCCTTCCAACCTGGTATCTGTGATTCTGTGATATCAGTGAAGGCAGGGGTTTGCCTCTTTTGGTGGAAAGGAATCCTTTTATCGTTTTCCGTGTAGAACTGGGAAGGACTTGTTACCAGTTTGGAAGCTGGTGCTTAAATCGTGTCTCTTCCCTGTATGTTTTCCTCTGTGCCCCACCTTTGGAAAAAGGACGGATTTTAGTCTTTGAATCAGAAACCATTTGCCTGGGGTTGGAGGGAATTAAGGAAACGTCGTTTGTTGTTCATGCACATGTACTACATTGCGGGAGTCCAAAAAGCTGGGCTGCGCTTGGTGTCTCAGTGGAAGTCTGGAACGAAAGAACCCCTGATTGCAGCCCATCGGCTGGGGCTGCTGGTGTTGCTGGAAGAGTGAGGAGGTGCCCTGGAGCCCAGTTCCCTTGGGGAGAGGGCAATCA